ACTCTACAATTTTTTATAGGCATTGTAATTTTTATATTTTAAAAATTCAGGAAAGAAATCACATGTTCTCAAAGGTTTTGTTTTGCACATTTACAGAGGCAAAATTTGCATATTTAAGAAGAGTCTGGCTTGTCTTTGTGAGCTGAGCTCCATCCTTCTGCTTATTCAGTGATCATATGAGCCTAGTTTAAAAGTTGTGAAACTCAATTTTGAAGTGTTTCCCTCTTTTATAAGGAAGCATAAGGACAAAATGCTATGCTTTTTTCTTGGGAGAAAATGGAAGGATAGGAGATAAAAGAGGAAGATGAGAGAAGAAGCAAAATAAATGAGAGAAAATGCTGTGAACTGACAGCAAGATTAATGAGAAGAAATGGAACCTTAGCCTTGGGTGACACAGATGATTTTGTCTTTCCCAGCACAAACACACATGAAAACTTTACATGCTTTTACTTATAGTTTGTGAGGTTTAAAATGCTGGAACAAGGTATGAATCAGGTGTTAACTTTACTGGGGACATGTCCTTTAATTGTAGCTTGGTTGCTTTTTTCTTTTTTTCTCTCAAGTCATGAAGTAAAAATCCTCTAGTTTTATTGGTCTGGGTCCATACAAAGCTAGGCTGCTTCATCAACCTACTGTGCACCCCTAAGTCCTAATCCTGATTAAATTTGCCTTAGTTGATCTCTCTGAAGCCAACCTACTTCGATGTCCTTATATGCTTGCACTTCAATGGCAAAACAAAACAAAAAAAACCAGTAAAGTGCTTTTGTCTTTGCTGCTCTTTTTTCAGTAAACCTCAAATATCCAAAAAGGCAAAACTTTATTATGTATGTTTGCCATCAAGTAAGTTAATGGCAATTCAGAGATCTCCAAGCTGGTTTCCTAATTGCCCCTGTTTTGGTCAGCTGCAAATTGAAATACTGTATAGAGAGAATTTTCTGTGGAAATTCTGCTGTGAGCAGTTTTGGAATGTAAAATAATTTTTTGTTGTTAGAGGAAGTGTTTTTGTAACTGGGAAAACAGCAATCCTCTGACTTCCCAGAACTGTTAATTTACCTTTTGTCTAAGTGACAGCCTGTTGCTGAGGGTGAAAAATAAATGCTTGCACTCCCCCAAAAAGTGTGAGCAATGTAGTCAGTCTCTGAGGAGCAGGCACTGATTGCCTCTGTGGTTGCAGCAGCTTTCGTCACCAGTGGATCAAGCTGTTAACTGGAGCTACTGTGGTATAAAGCAATAACAGTAATAATGGTAATGCAAATCCAGCCTTGATTGCAACAGGGCAGATCCCAAGCAAGGAAAATTAGTGTAGCTCTCAGGGCACAGCAGGGCGAATTTCATGCAGTGCCTCTGGGGTTGCTGTGAGCATGGGGAGCAGGCACTCTTTCAGTGTGGTTTTTGGTCTTATTTTGTGCACTCTGAGTTTTTGTCAGGATTAAAGTTCAGGTTGGTATCCAGCTCATTCCAGCAGGAAACACTGCCTTCCTGGCTGGCTGGCTGGCTACCACCTTCCATCTTTCTGGAGATACTACTTAATGCCTCTCTTCGCTTGGGTTGTATTAAAGAATGGTAGAGCTTTTTGTATATTGCTTCTTTGACCACTGTTGGCAGATACTAGTAGAAAATTGGGAAAAAAGGCCACATAACTGAGATGAAAACAAATAAATTGTTCCATATTTTTTCTGTAGTCCTTTTTATATTGACATTCAGATAACACTGCATGCCTGAGAATAGGTCAACCTTTACAATTACCCATTAAAGAGTATTTGCTTTGGCTTGTAATAAAAGAATTCTGAATGATTCCCCTTGCCTGTTCTTTTAGGTAAGCTTAATGGGCAGTTCATCTGCTAAAAGTTTTCTTCTTCTGTAAAAACAAACTTGCCTTTAAAAAAACCTTCTGATGGGAATTTGAGGAAGTCTTTTGACCTGTTGACTGCTGAGATGCCAGTTATTGCTACAGTGTGCATTTTGAAATTGTTTGGTGATACCTTGATGAGAAGAGCTCTGGCCCTGCTTGTTAGCCCTCTTTACTCTGAAACAGGGCCTGTAGTTTTTAGTCATGGTTCATCCCAGAAGGCTGTACTGCTTCCTGCCTTGATTATACCTGTTTTAACAGTAGCTAGAGGGAGAGAGAGATGCTTCTCTTGCAGGTAAGAAGTGGAGACAAAATTACATTATCATCCTTTATAAAAGATTTTGGGTTGACAAGACCAAGAGCACATGCAGGAGATTTCAAGTGGGTTTGTTTGTTTTTTTGTTTGTTTGTTTTTGCTAAAAAGGAAAAAAAAAGGCTTTGAGAAATTCAGGCAGTATATGTTAGAGCCAATGGAGTAGAATAAATAATGTAGTCTTCTTATGAAAATAATTTAACATTATAATAAGAGGAATAGTAATTTATGACATAAACATCCACTGTGCCTCAGTATAGGAAATACCAGAAGAGAAGACAAAATATAAGAGCCTTCAGTGGTAGTTCCTTGCAACTTAATCTTTGACTAGCAAAACTTGAATGGGTAATGTCCCTGGTGACTGAGGAGAATTTGTGAAATAAAGTGGAAACTTGTAAAATTAAATGAACTGTAACTAACATGGCAGGCAAAATAGTGAGACAAATTTCAGAGGGAACTAAAAGGAAAAGAGAGCATATAGCTTCTTGATGTTTGGCTAGCTTTGGTAAACTGTACCTGGGTAAATTCCAAATGATGGAAACTGTAATAGAATCAATTTCTCCTCAATTTAAATGTGTCTATAATCATATTTCAAAGTCCCATAGATGCTTTGCTAACAAAGAAATTGGAAGATTTGTAGATTTGTTTTGATTTTATTTTTTAAGTTATGAAGGCTTTTGGAGTTCCTTGTTAAAGGTAAAAATCTATAAGCCTCATGTGACACCCTCTCTGAATCCTTGGGGAACAGAATTTTTACCATAGTCATGAATATATGGGTTTTGGTTAAAATCAAAGGTAACACAAATCCTCACAGGCTAAAGGACAGCAAAGATGCCCTTTAATATCAAAGATAAATTTGAGGGAAATATTTAGAAATTTTTGCCTAATTAGATTGAAGAGCCTGGGTTATGAATCACTGATCTTGAGGACTAATAGCAAGACCTGAGTACCTGAGGATACAACTGACTTTTCTAAACAAGGTCAAGAATTGTGTTGCATCACTGGCCTGCTCAAGGAGCTGACAAAACATGGATCTATTTATGAGTGCATTATAGAAATGCCAGTATTTTTAATATATATATTGCACATGCCTGACTCTCACATTTGAGAAGATGCAATGTCATCCACATAAGGAGATAGGGTGTGAAGGAACTTAAGGGAGAGCAGCCTTCTGCTGAACCAAGTACACTGTTTGAGGTTATGCAAAGTCTAGAGGAAGGGTGGCTTGTAATGCACAGTTCCTCTTTGTGCCACAAAAAATGAAGTGTGTAAGTTCAGATCCTAGAGGGAAGTTCTCAGTTCCCAGAGGAACTTATCAGAGAAACCCTATCTCTTTCTCTGTGCTTAAATTTATGAAGTCAAGAGAATATAAAAGTGTTCAAATTATGAAAAAAAAAGTTTTATATTCTATTCTATTCTTTTTATATTTTTTAAATTGCCTAGTATTTCTGAGTTACTTTCACTATTCTATTTTAAACTGATTATCCTCCTACAGTGATATTCTCTTGCCATATTACCTGCATTTAGAATTAGTTTTTAATTTTACTTACAAAATGAAGTCTGAACTAAGAGCAGATCTATAAAGCTAGAAGTAAATAGGTATGAGCAAATTATGTAGGTAACTTACCCGCCCTTTGCATTGAAGTCCATGATGCCAGGTACTTTCTCAAATTTGTGTTATTGATGTCCAGCTGAGATACAGTCAGTAGAAGAAATAGACTTGTAGCTGCAAATGTCAGGTGAGCTTGTATTCTTAGCAGCAAAAAGGTGTTTACATCTAAAATTAAATAACATACTCAGGAAAGGTGTATGTACATACAGGAATTAAAGTAGGATAACAGTATTTAAAACTAACCATGATTAAGTTTTCTGAATTTGTCCTGTAATAACAATATTCCGCTTAAGAGAAGTCCTAAGAGAAAGGATTCAGAAACAGCAATATTATGATAGAACTGGTAACTGAAATCCCAATTTACTTTGAATCATTTTTTTCTGGAAATTAATGATTTGGCATGCCCTTACTAATATGTTGCTTTACAGAGTGAAATGCATGTAAAATTGACTCTTAGGTTGATTAGAACAGCAGAATCTTACTGTGATTAAAACCACTGTGGGTATCAGTCATCAGATGTCTGGAATTTGCTATTTTCTTTATGCAAGTTAAACAGCTATTTTGTATTTGAATTTTGTTACATATAATATAAAATAAAACCATTTCTTAAATACTGAATATGATCTTTGCTGGGTCATTTCTACTGATTTTAGTTTTGCTCTCCAGAAATAGAAATTGGGCTACATTTAGTTTTACAAATTTTTCAGCTAGTGGTATCTCAGTTTCTTCTATACCAAAGAATAAGCAATGACCAGTTAGATAAAATGATGCAGCTTTGGTATTGTTCATTATCCACACTGGGGCCAAGTGTCCTTGCTCCTGAGATAAAATTAGCACCTCTGATACTCCACTGTGACCACAGGCGGAGAAAGGCAGTAGGTAGCAAAAGCGGAACTGCTAAGCATGCCCACATAAGAATGTCACACTTAGGTAACTGAGTGTCCCTCAGGTCAGCCTACGATAAGAGCAAAGTCAAACAAGGCTGAATCCTTGATGTTTTGTGTTTTAAGTATCTGAAAATTGTTCACGACCAGCCTCGACCTACAAGACCTCAAATGATCATATGAGCAAGGCAATAAATCGGTGTTAACTTGCCCTGGGGCCCATGTTGTAGTTGTGATGTTGTGAAAGTTGCATCTAGTGTTAGCCTGTCCACATAGATCTGCCTGCTTTTTCAGGATTCTCAGACAGGAAAATTTTATATTCACTTTTACTGAAGGGGAGCTATGGTGGCTGAATGGGCATGGCTGAAGGGCTCTGCATCGTATCAGTGCAGTCCAGTGGAGATGCACGGGAATACCACAGCATCAGGAGAACTGGGGAACCACTTGCTTTCCAAAACTCCACACCTGAGCAAGATTTTGGCAAAGCCAACGGTTTGTAGCCCTGCAGTATTTGCCAAATATCCAGGACGTGGCCTCCCGTTGTGGGACAGACTGATTCACCTTCCTGACAGAAATCAGAAATGGAATGTAGTGGGCATAACAGAAAATCATTTCTGTAGGAAAAGACACTTCAAAAATTATGATATCCGGAGGAATGGACAGCAGCTTTCGCAATGCCAACATGCTTCAACTTGGACTAGTACAATTTTACAGCCAGGCTATACAAAAGCAAACTTTCAAATCATGTCAAGTGCCCAGGAATACAAAAAAGAAGAAAAAAAGTGTAAAGGTAACTGACATTATCATTCAGAGCACAGCAAATACTGTATTTAGAAAAAACAAAAAGCAAAATCGGCTTGTCTTTGTTTACTGTCAGGGGTTTGTCCATTGGTAAAAGCATTATTATGTGGGGATGTTTTCTAGCTACCAACCTTTTTTTAATTTATTTATTTTTTATCAGTGGTAATTGTGGTTTTTAGTTTTCTCTTCTATTTAATTTAATAGCTTTGTGAAGAGCCCTTATGACAATGTGGTTAGTACTTACTGGGGTTTTCTGTGTGATACCTAATACAGAATAATATCTTTTCTTTTAGAGCTTTTAAAAAGTATTTGTCTCTCTGCTTGTGATCTTTATAAGTTGATCAAAAATCTTTTCTGAACTTGGCCTTTTTTTTTAAAACATATCTTTGATACATTCAAAATGCAAAGGAAAAGAAAGCCTTGTTTTCTACTTTCAGGGTGTTCAGCTCTCAACAATGACTGTATTGTTTGCCTTCTTTCTTAATATTAACCATACCCAAAGCCTCTGTGGGTACATGTACAGAGCTCAAGTGGGACTTCTTGTTAGGAATATTCTCTGCCTCACTAGTCAGGAGAATAAACCATTTTCTCTGAGGGAGGTTGTTTTCACATCCTTTCACATTGAAGGAACTCCCTTTAAGAATCACAGTTGCTAGGGTATTAGCACAAATGTAGTGCTTAAGTTATTCTTGTTCCTCTTTAAACTTGGATAAATAGTTCTTCATTGCTCTTTGCCTAAAAAAATAATTACTGTATATTGTGAGGGGGGATTACAAGTTGTTTTCTTTTACTTAAGTCTTGCGTCACTCCAGGAAGAAAGATTACAGTGTCAGGCAGGATATCACCTCATGAAAAAGTTAAACTGGTCTAAGTACCTGATTTCTTTAGATTTAGTTGTACTTTACCTCAGAATGCCTCTTTGCTAACAGATGTCAGGTGTTGATCGCTTTAACGTCTTACTAAGGGCTGTCAGGAGGCTACCAAACCCAGACAGTCCCATCCAGGAGCCTGTTAATTATGTTATGTCAAGCTAAATTAGCCTGTTTTCTGCTTGGGTTTTTTTGGGTTTTTTTTTTTTTGAACAAATGAAACTTCTTACCTTGATGTTTTGATGTGAAGTTGAGACAGGCAATGACTCAAAAAAGGTACATGTTTTAAGTGTTGGCCATTACTTTCTCAAGAGATAAGCTCTGTAATTAACTGATGTCTGCTAACAGGGTCTTCCAATTATGATATATGGGGAGGCTTAACAAAGTGGGTTGTCTGGCTCACAGGTCTATAATTACTGTTAGTAATATTTGTTCTGGGACCATCTTAAAAGTCGTCCAAACTATTCAAGAATTTTGTTTGCTCATTTGTTGACTGACATATCAAGGAGTAAATGCTTTCTGACAAGACCGTGTGCTTCCTATCCATGTCATGAATAGTGCAAGAAAAAGCAAGCACAAACCCTGGAGGAATCCTCATCAGAAAAGAGCAAGCTCCATTCTCTTTTTACCAAATTTATTCAAGGTGTCAAAAATATTTTGAGGGATAACTGGAATTGTAGTGTATCTGAACGTTTAAATATAAACTATGACATTCTTTGTTATTCAAGCAGACTAATGACTCTGAAGTATTTCAATAAAAGGCACATCACACTGGCATTTTATGAGTCACAGACAAATTTAGTGTCATGTCATAACCAAGGTACAGTGGGTTTTGTGAGAGGAGCAGTTTTAGAGAAATAACTAAGTTGGTACACGTGGAGAAAAGAGGTGTGCTGTTGTCTAAGTAAGATTTTCATCTAGTTTGTACCACAGGGCAGCTAGTTTGAATCTTCCTGCATCTGTTGCAAACCAAAGGAAATCATTTTATATCAGAAAGATTTAGCTTTTTCTCCTTCAACTGTTATAAATGTATCATAGACAAAAAGATTATTTTTTTAATGTCTTATCTTCCACTGAGACATACTCCAGGAACTGTCAAATGCTGTTGTGACTTTTCAGCACCAGAATTCCATAATCCTACCTACCTTATGATTTAGTCACAAGTAGAGTTTTCAAAATAAAATAAAACCATGAAAAATTAATTTTCTGTTCTTGTAAATGCTTGTTGTTATTTTGGATTCTGATGTTTGAGGTTTTCTTAGTTAATCTCTAAGTTTGCGTAGTCATACTTCTGAGGGACCATTTTGAGTCTTTGATAACAATGCATAAAGTGAATTAATAAGGTGGTGCAAATACATATATTAAAGAGAGATGGTAACTCCTTGTGTGGGCCCAGAGAGAGTTGTATTTGATAACTTAAGGGAGTTGCAAAAATGACATTAGTAGTTTTGCTCAAAAGCTATTGCAGTTTTCAGTGTATGTTCCTTATGATGTGAGAAGATCTGTCTGGAATGTAGCCCATGTTATGAAAGTGCTGATTTGTGTTTGCTCAGAAAAGCCATGATCTATTTTAATTTTTTTTCCCCAAAACCATCAGAGGTGGCTGAGACAATTCAGGCAACAATAAAATCCATAAATAGGAAATATAACAGTTATTTTGTAATGTGTAAAAATTCATTTTACAAAACTAGGAACTGATAATACAGGCATACAAAACTGTGAAGAGTTCAGAACAGTATGTTTAATCTTTGCAACTAGGTCTTTAAATGTGTAAAATTTTTTAGTAAATCCTGGATTTTTATTCATCTTTATGCATGAAGTCTGAACAGCAACCAAGATAAGATCCTTGCATTTGGTCCTTCAGAAGTGGCACTCTGCCCTGACTGATTTCTGATTTGAATGCTCTGCAATACCTCCCACATACTGACACTGCTGAATCTTTTAGGATGGCGTGGAGGGGCCCTATCTGCAGCATTACGATTCCCAGGACTCTAGACCAGGGGTGCACAGTTTGGAAAAAGTCAGGAGAATAGGACTCTTGCAGGTAATATTCCACAGCAGATTAAATTGCACTGCATTGATGCTTCTTTTTTCTGTGTCAGGGACCTCTGTTGGTTGGGCTGTACTGTTCAGAGGGACGCAACAGGATTTTTGTCTTTCCTTAACATTTCTGTGGGTTCATTTTGGTGGGTTTTCTAACCAAGCTAAGTCACAAGAGAAGTGCATCTTAATGGGGCTATTTCATTGTTTGTAATTAAAAATCTTAGTCATAATTTGTAAAACAGGAGTTAATGAAGAGCTAAATGGTGTAGTGTAAGGCAGTCTCTTCTGCAGATTCCCCATTTCAGGCATTCACAGCCTTATTTTTGCCCACCCAGTTAATATCACTGACTGCGTTAGACTTACTTCTGATTTACACCAGGGTGAGTATGTAAAAACCTTTGGGGCATTCCAAAGTTCAAATAATTCCAGTCTTTTTTAGAACAATGGACTAACCACCTTAGACTGTGAGAGGTTTGAGCTTTGGATCCTCTGCCGTTACAATGTCAAAATTTCTGTTTTATTCCTGGCCTGTTTGCTTGAATTGAAGGGTTTATTCTGATGGTGATTAACTTCCATGTGTTCACATAATCAGACACATGTGAACTCATAAAACTCCAAGTGTGATATTACATTGCTGGAGGCAACAAAAGCTCAACATGACATGATGTAAAGATATATATATTCAAATAGGAATACAAAACAAAGAAAAAATACTATTCTACTCCACTTTCAGACTTTTGATAAAGAAGACACTGTCTGACTGTCTTGTATCAGAGAATTTAATTCAAAGGCGTGCATGAAATGAACCTACAGGATTGGACCCTAAAAGATTAAATGAAAATATTTTAGGAACATTTCAGTTTTTAAAATATTTGCAGTGTTCTTTGAAGTGATTTGTTTCCAAGGGAACAACAATCTGCAGAGCTATAAATTTCTTTAATAGTAACATATCACAGGTAAGAAACCCACATTCCCTGGTAGTGTTCATAATTTTTTTTGTTTGTTGGAAAAGTAATTTTTCATTTTTTCCTTATCCTTCACAGTTTAATGTAATTTAATTTCCTTATGGTTATAAAGGAACACTTGACAAAAATAGTACATGTGACACATTTCTGAGCATTATTGATGTAGCTTAGAATATAAGAAATATTTAAGGGATTTATTTTGAAACAGAAAGTAAGTCACAGGCTGTGCCATGTTGAAGTACCATTTCCTCAGGTGCCATCCTGGCTGGAACAGCTCTGTCTATAGAAGGCTTCAATTCTGTTTAGTTTTTCAGTAGCAAACCTAAATCCAGTCAGAGGGGGAAAAAACAAGAAAATGAAAGATTCGTGGGAATTTTGACTTTGCTGGCAAAGCAAATCCACATGGGAAAAATTCTCACTAAGAATTTAAAGCCCAGCTTCTCTGGGTGGTGTAAAAGTATCTAGGTATTGTGTTTTGCTAACCTGTAAAACACAGCCTCACCTCTGTGGGAGCTCTACATAAGTTCCTGTTGGTGGTACAGGGGATCTTTTTGTGGTAAATTAACAACCTAGGTACGGTACTTGGGAATGTTTTATTGGGAGCGTGGAGAAGTAAATTCAGCAAGCTGTATATGTTACATACACTACAGCATTACCAACCCATCCCCTCAGTGGAATGGTTTGGGGGTTCTGGTATAAACAACTACAGAATTTCTTGAATGAAACAGGCATTTTTATGAAGTGCTGAACATCCATTATTGAAAAATCAGATCTTGCATGAGACATGCTTTTTATCACAGACAAACTCACTGTTTTTAAAATCTAGATGATGGGCCTGAACTAAAGTGAAAATTAACTTTTATTGTGTGCTTTTCACACTGTATTTTACAGTGGTATTTGTTGAGTTAGACAATGGTAAATGAATGAGGGTTCATGAGGGTTTTGCTTGTTGGATTTCAGTAACTGTTTGCGGTCTTCTTGAAATTAAATGTTTAAATTATTAGATTTCAGGAGAACAAGTTCATTTTAGAGGCAACTTCATTGACTTCAGTAGCACTGATCTCAATAGAGTTCAGTTTGACTTACCAAATGTATTATTATTTTATGAGCAA